TTCAAGCCACACCGGCAACGATCCCATTAAGCCCTTGGAAGACCGGCAGGCGACACCCCTTAGGAGGAGGGAGCACCACGGCCACGGCCGAATCCACCACGGAAGCTGGGAGCGAACTCGCCGGGGGCACCGCCCTCCTTGTTCTCCTGCTCGCGGCGGCGGTAGCCACCCTCACGAGGAGCACGGGGACGACGCTCACGCTCCTCACCGCCCATCATGCCACGAGGGGGAGCGTGGGAACGCTGCTGCTTGATGTGGGTGGCGGGGACAACCTCAGCGGGGAGGTGGAGCCACTCACGGAGGTAGTCAAGACCCTATATCAAACCAGTCAGACAATCCGTCCTTATCGTATCCTGCGCCGGCTATAATCATGGAAGAAAACGTACCTCGGGGGTGAGGGTGTAGTAGTAGTACTGCCACGAGAACTGGGTCTTGACGAAGCCGCGGGAGGTCAGGGACTGGCAGGCCTTGATCACGTAGAGGTTCTTGGTGTCAATGTCGCCATGCTTGGGAAGGTTGAAGTCCTTCTTGGCCACGAGCACACCCTCTATTGTTAACCGTCAGCATGACTGATTCATCCATCATCGATCGATCGACCGTCGCGCAACATTTCGGGGAAACAAGGTCGGTCGATATAGGTGTTCACATACCGCGGAAGAGGTACTCGTGGATCTTCTTGCGGTCTTCCTTGGGGATAAGCCTGAATCAAGGTTAGCTACATCATCCTATATGATATCAATGGCCGATATTAGGTGCATCACTTACATTGTCGCGAGTTCCTAGCGCTCTTCGGGGAATCGCCTTGACAACGCGCGAAGAGGGTGGTTTAAATGTAGTTGATGTGAGTGGAGCGGCTGCGGTCGAGAAAAAAGTGCGGTAATTCCCCATCGGGAAGCGGTTTCAGGGTTGGGGCCCTAATCGCTCCGCTAGGCGGATAAGCTGCGTCACGTGCAAGATGCGCTTCTGGCCTGAGGCTACAAAGAGGTGGTTTCCCTGTTAGTCATCAATGGCCTTATCGGGAACTCCTCCGCATCCTGAATGAAGTCAACTGCGCCTCACCTCTACAATCCATCATCTCCAGAGCAGCAACAGTCTCAGCGCTTCACGTACTCGGTATAGACGCACTGCTTAACTGACGGTCTCTGCGATATCACCAATCATCATGGCGTCCCAAAACGTCAACGTTCTATTATCGACCTTTCCCGGTCTCTCACTTCCATCAACACTCTCCTTCGCGCTACCATCATCATCCAGCGTCGCTGACCTGACGGACAAAATCGCCTCATACCTGCCTCCTTCTCTGCCACTCAATCGTCTGGTCTTGACAACAACCAGCAACAAGCAACTTCTCCCCTCATCCGAATCCATCGCATCCTACCTCATCAGCACCAATGACAACCTCGCCACAACCTCCATCCTCCCCCTCCGCCTCAGCACCCCCCTATGCGGTGGTAAGGGAGGTTTCGGATCCCAGCTCCGTGCTGCCGGTGGGCGGATGTCCAGCAAGCGCAAGCGCAACCAAGGCGACGACAATGGATCCAGCCGCAACCTCGATGGCCGTCGTCTACGCACAGTCAACGAAGCCAAGGCATTGGCCGAGTACCTCGCTCTCAAGCCGGAGATGGACAAGAAGGAGAAGGAGGAGCGTCGGCGCCGGTGGCAGGCTGTTGTTGAAGCGGCGGAGAAACGTCAAGAGGAGTTGAAGAACGGAGGTGGCAAGCAGAAGATTGATGGCCAGTGGATGGAGGACAAGGATGAGATGAATGAGAAGGCGAGAGAGGCGGTTCTTATGGCTATGAAGGATGGTATGTGGACGGATAACTTGCGCGATACGATTCTGGGCGGATCAAGCACAAGTGCTAGCCCGAGTGAGGGAAGTGGTCGGGAGACGCCCTCTAGCTCTGAGGAGGAAAGTGATGATGAGCAGGAGATGGAGGATGCGCCTGGACCGTCGTCGGCTGAACCGGTTCGTAACGCGGCACCTCGCCGGTATATTGGCTTTGATGAGGATGATGAGTTTATGAGTGACTCGGAGGAAGAGGAGGAGGCTGAAGATCCTAAGGGAAAGGGAAAAGCGAAAGCTTGATTGAATACCATTCAATGTTTTCTTTTCATGTGATTACGGCGTATGGTCTATGGTTCTGGTTGTTTTTCATGTCGTTAGCTCGTTATTGATATCAGGGTTTGCGAAGCACGGTCATTTCATCTCAAGCTTCATAGCTAGTGTACAGATTTCATGAAAATAATATTCTTCACAATAACCACCTCTCCTTGACATTATCTTATAAACCAACAGCACCCAATACCTATATTAGCTATAGTAGAACCACCTAGTCAGTTCGCCACAGCAACTTTTTTCCGGCCGCCGGCGCGGACCACCAACGCTATCGCCGCTATCACTCGCTATCAGTACCAACTAGAACTAGACTTTCATCGCATTTCTCCTCCGAGCTCTCCAACATCCCCAAACCTCACCAACCATGTCGCCATACCTCGGGCGCATAATCCCACGAGGGCGCCTACCGTACCACCGAGCTCCTTTACAAATATCCCGCCTTCGCAAGCCGTGTCTGCGAACGACAACCGCTATTTTCTCTTCCCGTCCGGAAATACTAGCTCGCACCGAAATCCCTGTCCAGCTACGCAGCTTTTCCACGAGTATCCCTCTCCGCGCAAGCCCGGCTCCTGAACCAACAATTGAAGAAGCTGTCCTCCCCGTGTGTTGTCCCGGATGCGGTGCGTATGCGCAGACTGTCGAGCCGAGTGAGCCTGGGTATTATGGGAAGACTAGGAAACAGACGCGGAAGCTGTTGTCTGAGACGAAGCAGGTTGTTGAGGGTGAGGGAAATGGGGAAGAAGGGTCCGGATTGAAGGCTGAGGGGGAGAAGGCGGCGGATCGGATTCAGAAGTATCTGGAGCTTACGGATGTTGGGGGGAGTGTGCCGAGGCCGAAGTGTGAGTGATTATTTTCTCTCTCTGTTCTGTGATGGTGGTTTTGGTTCATATACTAATTGACTGATTCTTATTGTGCAGTTGGTGCTTCTTTGGTGAAAGCGGCAGATACTGCCGGCAAGTATCTGGAGAAATCGAAAGCCCCGGTACAAATCTGCGATCGATGCCATGATCTGCTGCATCATAACAAGGCCGTTCCTGCTATTTCGCCGACTATGGAATCCCTTCGCGCGTATCTGGATGAGTCGCCTCATAAAAATAATCGGATTTATCATGTTGTTGATGCGGCGGATTTTCCTATGTCTGTTGTGAAGGAGATCTACGATACGCTGGGGATTATGGATCCGCGGTCGAAGAATCGGCGCTCTGCGACTTATAAGTATAAGAGCGGGAAGAAGCTGCCGACTATTAGTTTCGTTATTAATAGGTCGGATCTGTTGGCCGCTACGAAGGAGCAGGTTGATTCGAAGATGGAATATGTACGGTCTGTGCTTCGTGATACGTTTGGACTCTCGCATGAGGAGTTCCGCTTGGGCAATGTGCATATGATTAGTGCTCAGCGGGGATGGTGGACGAAGAAAGTTAAGGAGGAGATTAGGGAGCATGGGGGTGGGATTTGGGTGATTGGGAAGGCCAACGTTGGTAAAAGCAGTTTTATTGAGGCATGCTTTCCCAAGGATTCGAGGAATCTCGAGAAGATTGCGGATTTGATTGAGCTTCGTGAGGAGGAGTCCAAAATCGCTACCCACTATGACACTTCTGCTATTGATTCAGAGGGACTTCTACCCCCTGCGCCTCGGGAGGATCTCTATCCTATTCTCCCTGTGGTCTCTTCTCTACCCGGCACGACGGTATCACCTATTCGTATCCCGTTTGGCCGTGGAAGGGGCGAGATGATTGATCTGCCGGGGCTCGAGCGTGGCGAGCTGGCCGACCATGTCCGTGATGAGTTCAAACGCGATTTGATCATGACCAAGAGGAAGAAGCCTGAGCGCCTCTCAATCAAACCTGGCCAATCCCTACTTCTCGGAGGAGGTCTTGTCAGAATTACGCCGATGAACCCTGAGGATGTCGTGATGGCAGCTTGCTTCGTCCCGCTTGAATCGCATCTCACCAGAACCGAAAAGGCTATTGAAATGCAAACGGAGCAGCGCCCTTACCCCAAGACCAATATTGCCAGAGAAGGTACCGGTCAGGTCATCTCATCTGCAGGTGTTTTTGACCTGAAATGGGACGTGACTCATTCGCACCTCCCCAGGTCTATCGCCAAGGCGGTTGAAGATGGGCATATGAAGATGCCGTCTCTACCATACAAAGTAATGTCGACCGATGTTTTGATCGAAGGATGCGGCTGGGTTGAGCTTACAGTTCAAGTTCGAGCCAAGTCCGCGAAGGAGTCCGATTCTGAGGATGAGACGTCAAGGTCTTTCCCTCAAGTGGAAGTGTTCACTCCGTACGGCCGCCATGTTGGGTCTCGTCCTCCGATTGAATGCTGGAAGTTCATAGAAGCGAAGAAGGTCGCTGACAACCGCGCGAAGGGACCTCGGGGACGGCAGAACATTGGGCTGGAGAAGCGAGCCCGGCACAGCTGAGACGGTCTTCCAGCATGGATGACCTTGTATAGTATATGATTTGCATAGCGATTGGTGTTTCACGGTGTATACTAGAAAGGGATAAACAATGCTGTATTATAATGATTGGGGTTGTGTGGTGGTTGTTGATGTATAAATAGATCATCGATTGTTGGTGAGCAGATTATTAGTTTATCATCCACTGCCTTCTTTCACGTGGGCTTCTTCCCTCTTCATTCTTCCTCCTTTCTTCTCACTCCCAACTTAATCTGCATGTCTCTCGCCTGTTTGAGTTCATTTCCCAGATCTAGGTTATTATCTAATCCTGCTAGTATTCCCACCTGTGGTTGCGCTACAACCCCTCTTCACTACCTGGCTGCATAGTAAGCATCCGCTCCTCGAACAATACACAATCGCTTCAGCTGTATACCAACGTTATATAGCTAACAGACACATCCCATAAAGAACCTTTCGACAATGCTCTCGTCTCGAGGCAGCAATAATGCGCAATTGCACAAGATCCCGTGGCGCTATGCTCTACCGCACGAGTACAGCAAAGAGACGAATCCGGAGGGCATGATATCATTTGCATTAGCAGAACATGTAAGTTATCTGCGAAATGAGGCCACAACTCCAAAGTACTTATAAGCAGATAGGCACCAATGCGCGCAGAAATAGCCAACTACATCAACACCAAGGTCAATATCCAGCCCTCTCTCTTTTCCCTCTGGAACTCAGCAATCCCAACCAATATCTTCTACATGCTTAGGTCGAGTTCAACGTAGCATCAGTTGCCTATACCTCTGGTAACAATGCCATCCATCGTCTACAGAAAGCAGTCGCAATGCATCTGAATAATCTACTCGATCCCATTGCTCCAATCGAATCGGAAGAAGTCATTGTTGCCAGCGGCGCAACTGCAATAGGGAGCATGCTTGGATTCACCCTAGCTGAGCCAGGCGACGGCATCTTAATCAGCAGGCCAGCTTATGGACGATTCGAGCTTGATTACGGTGTCGAAGCGGGTGTGCAGATGGTATATGCAGACACCACTGTGGAGGAGGCATTTGCTCCTTCTGTTGTCAAGAAGTATGAATTGGCCCTGAGAAATGCTCGGGCGAGAGGCGTGCAGATCCGGGCATTGATGCTAGTGAATCCGCATAATCCTACCGGTATGGATAACCACTTCGTTGCTTATCAATAACGTAGCGTTGACACTACGTCTAGGCCTTTGCTATTCTGTTCAAACCCTGACGGAGATTCTCAAGTTTTGTAACAAGCACCAGCTTCATCTGATCAGCGACGAAATTTATGCTTCATGCGTTTTCGATTCCGGAGACCCAGATGCCGTTCCATTCACCTCTATATTATCCCTCAGTACCCCGAAGCTGATCAACCCTGACCTGGTGCACTTGTTGTACGGATTCAGCAAGGTATGCCGCTACCTCGTTATGTTCTCTGCTCATTAGAATGTGTCCAACATATATAATCTCAGGACTTCGCGTCCGGCGGCCTCCACCTAGGCTTTCTTATCACAAAGAACAAACCCCTACGCCATTCCTGCAATGCAATCCTGTCAGTTTGCCACTATCTGCCAGACTGACAACTCAAAAGTCAACTAACCCAGCTCACAGACGCCTCCACAGCGCCTCCACAGCAGCTGTAACAATCGGAACCACCATCCTCGAAGATCAAGACTTCGTTCGCAACTTCACTGCCAAAAGCCAACGAAGTCTTGCTTCAGCGTACCGAATTGCAACATCAACTCTTGCCCAGGAGGGAATTAACTACATAAAGGGGGGGTGAGTCAAGACGTGTCCAGAACTCTTTCCAAAACTATGTTCGGATATAGCAACTTATATTGTTCCCTACAGAAACGCCGGCTTTTTTATATATATCGACCTATCACCCTATCTTCCAAAAGATAGCAGTGGTAATAGCACGTCTCCGCCTGAATTCGCCCTCGCTCAGAAATTCGTTGACGCAGAAGTATTCCTGCATCCATGTGAAGAGCATGGAAATATACCAGGGTGGTTTAGGCTTGTCTATGCGCAGGAGGAGGACGTATTGAGGGAGGGGTTGAGAAGGTGAGTACCAAGTAACCGTGTCTGTCGATTCTCGTTCTGTTACTCTTGACTTTGAGATATCGTAGGCGGGGTTAGTGCATGATGCTAATGATATATGCTACAGGATGATTGGGGTACTAAACAGTTTGGCATGATCGATCTAGTCTTTTTTGGCTTCATTGCCTGGTGAAACCGCAGTTCGTCCTGTAAAATTGCAATGAGTATGATGTTATCGTTGGTAGTATACTATGTCTACCCAACAGTAACAGCAGAACTACAAAGCATTACCAAATCGAACCGACAATTCTAACATAACCCAATGAAATTGCTATTTTATGATCTTTCACTAAAAAAAAAGAAAAGAAAACATGAAACCCATCAAGATATCTCATCTAATCTGTATCATGTATAATCATCACCATCTTCATCTTGATCATCTACTCAATATTGGCAAAGTTGAAAGAAGGCTGGCCGGGAACGGCATTCTCAGCCTGCAATCCCTCCCTCTTCTCACCAGTACCAACGACCTCACCAGTCTTGCCACCCTCATCGACAGCAACAATTTCCAGCTCCTTGGCGCCAGTAACGCGCTTAATAGCAGCAACCATCTCGCTGAGGACAGCGAACTCATCGAAAGGCAGCTTGCGGTCGAAGACAGCCTCGGGGACTTCCTTGTCGACAACGAGACGCTTCTTGAGTCTCTGGACGAAGGGCATAGCCTTCTTCATCTCGCCGAGCTTGCCGACCTTGGCGTTCAGCTCCTTGTCGTTGAAGGAGATGCTGATTGCGTCGAAGGCTTCGCGCACAAGGTCGATGTACTTCTCCTGCCAGACGGGGAACTTCTTGGCCGCGTAAATGCTGAGCTTCTTGGGCTTGCGGGGGTCGAAGGCAGTCTGCTTGCCCTTGGAGAGCTTCTTCACGAAGTTGGCCTCCGCGGAGGTGATGCTGGAGGTGGTCGAGCGGGCGTAGTCAAGGGCTGCGGACAGCTCGAGGGAGGGCTCGGGGACCTCGGGGAAGCGGGCGTGGTGGATGGTCGAGGGCTGGATAGGGTGTTAGTGGGGGTGTGACGGAGTGGAGTTGTGGGGTAGGTACGAACCTTCTTCAGGATCTCGACCCAAATGTGCTCGGACCAGTGAGGAGCAATGACGGCCATCATCAGAGCCTGCAGCTCGATGTAGCGGAGGACGACGTCACGGTGCATGCCAATGCCGGCAGTGGTGGTGGCTTCACGGTAGAAGTCACGGGCGCTGACCAGATCGTACAGACCGGACTTCAGGGCGAGCTTGAAGTTGGTGCTAGAAGTAGTTAGCTTCATGAAAGTCCCAGTGGCAGTCAAGTGAAGCAAGACGAAGAGTATTTGTGGAGGGTCCGTCAGGCATGTGGTGATGTTTGTCTCATGGCCGTGAAAGGCTCTGAAGTAGCAAATACGTAGAATATGCGAGCATCATGTGGACAGGTGATTGCGGGATTGTAGGGGGATAAAAGGTGACTTACTCCTGGTAGTGCTTCTTGGTCTCACGGACAAGGCCGTTAAGCTCGTTGTCGAAGAGCTTGTCCCAGAAGGCATCGGCGGGGCCGGTACGTAGGGACTCGTCCTTGACAACTTCCTCCATCCAGTCCTTGAGAGTGTGGAGACGGAGGATGTTGCTGTTAGCGACGGTCTCCTCGAAGTTAGCGTCTTCGATACCGTCACCAGCATCGGCGAAGGCGATACGGGTGGCATCAGCGCCGAACTTGTCGACAGCATCCTTCAGGGTAAGGAAGTTACCCGTACTCTTGCTCATCTTCTCACCGTTGAGCAGCAAGTGTCCGTTAGCACGGACACCGCGAGGCCAGTACTCAGGAGGGAAGAGGGCGACGTGGATGTACAGGAAGAAGGTCAAGTGGTTCTGGATGAGATCCTTTCCGGAGACACGGACGTCCAGAGGGTACCAGTACTCGAATTCTCTACGCATCTTCTGCAGAGCCTCCTTGCTGATACCGCTCTTGGAAACAAGCTCATCGCTGAGCTCACGTCTGGTGAAGACGTAGTCCCAGACTTCGTCGATCATCTGCTCGGCCTTCACGTTCAGGGAGCCAGGCTCCTTGCCGTAGCGGTCACCGTGCAGGTAGTGGGCGATGGTGTAGTAGGCCATGTAGACGGTACTGTCACTCAAACTCTCGACAAGGAACTGCTTGTCCCAGGGCAGCTTCGAACCCAGACCGTAGGTTCTGGCGCAAGCCCAGCGGTTGAGCCAGGACAGGTTCTTCTCGAAACCGTTCTTGGTTTCGTTTGAGTAGGCGTTCAGGGTGTTCACAACGTGGTTCAGGGTGGTCTTCTGCCACTCAGCGTCGTTCTCACCGTAGTTCAGGAACCACTGGCCGAGGTAGGCAACAACACAGTCATCTCCACTGCGGCTGACAACCTTGCCCATAGGGTCGGCGAAGGGGAAGGCATCACCGCTCTCGTACAGAGACTTACGGATCTTCTCCTTAACAGCGCTCACGGGCTGTCCCTTGTACTCACCGACAATCATGGTACCCTTGTAGAAAGCTTCACCATAGGCCAACTCCTTGGCCTGTGCAAGCTGGTTAACGTCCTTGGGAGAGTTGATCTTGAGCTGCTTGACGAGAGCGGGAGCAGTGAGGTTTCCGTACGTCGGAGTCTCGATGAGAGGGAAGATCTCCAGCTCAGCCCACTCCTTCTTGATACCATAGTACTCCGGCTTCTTCGCGAGATCCATCAAAGTGGCGTAATCATCGGGAGAATCCGAGGGCACGGAAGTGACAACACCGGTACCCTTGCTGGCAGAGACACCCTCCATGGGAAGGATGCGCACACCTTCAGTATGGAAAGAAAGAGGAGCGTTGACGAGAGTACCGACATAGGCAGTTCCGGGGGCCTCAACGACAAGGGGCAGTTGGTCCTGGGACTTGAGGAACTTCTCGCCGTCGGCGAAGTAGCCCTGGAAAGCCATGTTCCAGGCAGCCCGCTTGGTGACGACGAAGTATTCCTTCTCCTTGACCTTGTAGAGGCCATAGGTGATCTTGGGGCCAAGGAAGCAGCAGGTCTGTCCGTACATGGTCTCCGGACGCAGAGTGGCGGGGACGAAGTAGACATTGGCATCGTCCTCAATCTTGCCCTTGACGAGTTCGGCGATCTCAGGAGCCCACTCCTTGACCTTGAGCTTCATAGCGGTGTATTCCTGGGGACCGATACCCTCACCCTCAGTGCGGTCGTGGTCCATGCAAGGCTGTCCGTCCTTAGGAGAGTAAATGGTGTAACGGTTGCCGTACTGGATCTTGCCCAGCTCGTGAAGGCGGTTCATCTGCCAGCGCACAAAGGCGTCATAGTAGGGGTTGGCGTCGGTGGTGACGAACTGTCTGCGCCAGTCAACACGGGCACCCAGGCTGTCGAGATCACGAATGGCGAGAGGGGGGAAGTGCTGGAGCCAGTGGGCGGCATCGGCGAACTTGTGGATCTCCTCAATGGGGATACCAATAGCCAGCATGATCTGGAACTGGTACTTCATCTTGACGGTCTTGGCAGCGGCCTTGCTCTTCTTTCCGGAGAACTTCTCCTGCTCAGCCTTAACCTCCTGGGTGGGAGCGGCAACGGCGGCCGTGTCCTGCTCCTCAGACTCTTCGCTGTAGCCTTCGAAGTTCTTGCCGAACTTGGCGACTTCATCCCGGAGCTTGTCGGCACAGGCCTTGATGGGCATACCGGTGCAGTGGAATCCGAGAGGGAAAAGGGCCCTCTTGCCCTCCATGCGAGCAACACCGGTCATAAATTCGACCTTGCTAGCAGTGAAACTGTGACCGGCGTGAAGGGTACCGTTCATGTAGGGGTAGGCCATGGTTCCGAAGAACTTGGGGTGCTTCTCACGGAGCTCAGCGGCGGACATGCTGCCGAAAGGCACCTCCGTCTCGGAGGGAGCATCGACCTCAAAGACCTTGTTTGCCTTCCATTGGGCCTGGTACTTCTTCTCGAGGGCGATAAGGGTATCTCTCTTCTCGGTCTATGCAGATAATACATGGTCAGCTCAATCCAGGTCAAACTGGGTCTCTTGGGGGACAAAGAGGGGCATGTGAGGCAGACATTCTCGAGTTTCATAGTGTTTTTCGTGCCCTGCTCGAGCGCAGCTGCAGATGCAGCGGCGGCGGCGGCTGCCATGACTCCGGATGTAGAAGGATAAATCTGACAAACTGGAGATAATGAGCCCGAGGGCGAGGAGGGAAAAGGGCAGCGTTATATAGATCGAGCGACTGGAGTCACCGCGGGGTCGAAAAGAATTACTCCGAATGTGGGAAAAGGCGGTCCGTGAGTCACCGCCTGCCTCATCCGGTATCGGAGCATGGGGATATCCCAGTATCAAGGGCGATGGCTTCATTGCTCAGCCTCATTCAGGTAATCGATATATGGCAGATGGACTTTGAATGTGGAGTGGTTATTAGAAATTGTGAGTCACAATTCTGGTACAATGCCTGGAGCGAAGGATGCATGTTTGAGTCATCACGCTTTAAGGCAGGAGTGAACCGGGCAGAGATATACTCGGTGAGAGCGAAATCCTTTGAATTTGAACAACAGAATGAAGGGAAGACTTGAAAAAATGTCTGAGTTGGAAGGGGCTGAGCGTTCGGGTTCATTCGAAGGAGTCACCACCCATAGTTGCCAATCAATAAGAGACTATCATCAGCATCGCCGAAGCACATTATCTGAGCATCACGTGATCTGATATCGGCTGCTTTTCTTTCCGCCGGGGATCCCAAAAATCAACGGGAGACAGCTCCGAACCAGCAGCCATCTAACCACCCCGTCGTCGGCCCATCCAGATCAATCACAGCCGGGCGCGACCTGAAAATCCCATTCCTTGACATATCTCCCATCAGAAAGTAGTCGCTCAGGCGCTCCAACCGTCACAATGGTCAACCTCTTCAAGCGGATGCGGAAGCTGAAAACCGTAAGTTGACCACCATCACCCATTATCAATGACCCAGATACTGACATGGCTATTCAACAGAGGGTATGTTCTTATTTTATAATGTCATTTATTCCCCATTGAACCCTAATCACAACCCGACAACCCCAATCCCTACCCACCGATGCTATCCCTCCCACATCGGAATCAATCAACCAACCCAACCGTCCACCGGAGAAACCCATCAAACCCCAACCCTACTAACACCCCATCCCAGCTCCTCAACATCCAAGTCGGCACCGGAGCCGCAACCCTCCCCACTGTCGCAAACGCCTCGAAAGAATTCCCCGCCATCACGCGGCTGCACCTCACATACGCCCGCAAGATCTACGGCGGACACCAAGGCGCGCGACATTTCTGGCGCAACTGCCTCCCCCGACTCAAGTACCACAACCCAGCGATTCCCATGACGGTGCGCCAAACACAGGAACAAGAAGGTCCCGCCGCATTGACGATCTACTTCGCCGAGCGCGCCAGCAACGCCGCATCCCTGCTCTCCGCCAAGGACGTCACGGACAAGCATGCCCCGGTCCCCGGAGAGGCGGAGCAGACCGCTGTTCTGGATGTGAAGAACCTCGACTACAAGGATATCTGGGCTAAGGTGAAGAACATGACGGGCGCGCAGGAGATTCAGCCTACTCCGGAGCAGGAGTCTGAGTTGCAGAAGTTGGAGCAGTTGAGGCAGCAGAGTGATAAGGATCGCACGCGTATAGCGGCTATTCGTCAGGCTAAGGCGGATCAGGAACGTATGTTGCAGGAGGCTAGGGGTGAAGTCGAGAAGTTGAGGCAGTTGTAGGGTTGATGTTTTTGAATGGTGATGTGGACGGGTGATTTGGCTTGTGTGGGAATATAGTATACGACCTTGGGGCGTCGTGTCTTGTAGCATAGCATATATCTCTCTGTATTATTCCTGTTCGATTATGTAATTTGGGGAAATTTCTTTTCTTTCTGTTGCAAGTATACATTGTGCTTTGCTGAGATCATGGGTATATGGTATTGTTAAGGATGTTATGTAGTGGGGCGGTCTACTATTGTCCCTTCACAGGCTCTGCACTAGTGTATATATGTATGTGATCATGTTCATTCATCATTGTGGAAAGGAAAAAAGGTAGAAGACATTTTGTACAGTGTAGGCCAACAAGCCCCGCCCCATGTCACACACTTGCACTTGCTGGGAAGACCTCACTTCCTTGCAAAAGAAAATCCAAGGTTGGTATATGACAAACTGAACAGCAGAAACACTTTACGTTGCAATTGTTCCTTTGCTTTCTATCCCAAACAACCGACCAAACTCCATGAAACCATGCTTTGTAGAGTTGCTGCAGCTTCACGCATGGTCGGGGGTATAGCTGGTTTCTCCCAACATACTCTGGCCCGCTGAGACTCTGGGTGTCGGAGTCTGAGTATGGCTGGATCCTTGCTGATTCGCTGCAGACGTCGCTGGCTGCACCCTTCCTGCTGCTGCTGCTTGAAGCCTCTGGTCGAGAGCCTTGAGTGCTAAAGCACGTCTGCGCTCCGCTTCTTCCCGCTTCGCCATTGCCCGTCCGTTGCGATGGTTGGAAAGAAGACTGGGAAGACCTGCCTCGCCCCGTGCCAGAACTTGCTGGTTACCCGAGGCAATGTCTTCCTCGGAGAAAGGTGTACAGATCCTGACGGCGACCAGCAGAGCATAAACTTGATCGGATAGAAAGGCGATTGGTGGCTGAAGCACGTCCGGGAAGAGGCATGCAAACGCAAAAGTCTCGCTGGCATCACCCTTGATGCCTAGCCCATCGGTCGATGTGCCGGTAAGATCAGGCTGGCGTTTGAAGAAGCGAAGGTAGGTCCAACTGGTCGAGAGGCCGAGCCAGGCAAGAATCGCTGCGACATGCGTGCCAAAGACAACCCCGCTGATCGTGTTCAGGAACAAAAACAGAGCGGGAAAGTGCTTCACCCGCATTTTGACCAAGCCTTTGAAGATAGTCACCGTATGCTCAGGGACAAGTTGTTTGAAGGCAACCAGGAAGGATGCTTGAATCGAGATACCGCCGCATATCTGCGTGAGGCTTGAAGTCGGTGAGTCAGTAGGGAAAGCGCAAGATGTTGTGCATTCGTCATGAGAGAACAAGGCGTACCCGCTGCTGGAGCCGCTCCTGAGGGCAGCTCCTAGAATATAGAGCGGAACAATCGCCACGTTCGGGATGACGGCGATGGCTAGGATGAACTTCGCGAACTCCCGGGATCCCCATGCGCGCTCCAGGTATTTTCCGCCATAAAAGAGAGTGGCCGCGTTCAAAAGCACGGTGAAGATGTTCTGCTCCACAAATGTCGCAGTAAGGAGGGTCCACGGATAGAAAAGAAATTGTGAAGGAACGAGTGTCAAATAGGGTATAATCGGGGTGATGGCGGGTGCGCCGGGCGTGGTGTCAAGTTGCCGCCATCGGGCGATATTATACAGCAAGGAGAGGGTGAGAAGGCTGATAAGACAAATGCGGGTCGCTGGAGGGATATTGACTCGAGGCGCCATGGTGTCAGAGGACGCTCTTGCGGCTATTAAACCGCAGGCTGTTGACAGAGCCCAACGGGGGTTGGGGGAAAGGAAGTGTGGGAAGGAGAAGTGAAATGCATCCAGACCAGATGATCCGTACTACGAGCTGGACTTGCTGGTGACTAGTCGCTCGGGGGCGGCGTTGGGGGGAGTTCCATTTTCGGACAAGCCTGCAAGGACGGATCGCGTCTCTCTGATTGGATACCTTGCATGGCATCCGCAAGGCCGCCATTCATGCCTCCGCCGTGGCATTTGTTATTATTGAAAGGCAACAATGCATCCAGTCATTAGGAAACATGGATGACCAGCGGTTGTCTGCCACCACTGGATTTGTTGCGAAAAATAAGTTGGCGTTGAAGTTTTTGTGTGTGGGACAGGATCTGCTGACAGACACCAGTCGCATCGACAATTGATCATTTAACTTTCATATTTAAGCCTACTACGAATCAGCCTGGCATGAACTGATAACGAGTCGAATAACTATCGACGCCATTTCCGCTCAATAAGCTTCCGGGTCTCCTCAATAATCCCTTCTCAGGTCTCACACTGGCTATTGTGGAAGTCTTCTAGAGAATGCATGACAAAAAGAACCCGTGTCAGGGGAGGAATTGAGATTAAACCGATCGCATGGGTCACGTGTGGCTCAAGCGCTGGGGTGTGGCTCAGCCCAAGGGAGATTTACAGTGATGTCCTAGTTACCCACCCGCCAGACTTTCTAAGTGGACCGACCACTGAAGAAAGAGCGAAGACAGTGCAGCTAAGGTAAGCAAGCTTAGACTGCTTAGCACCGAGAGTCGTACGGGGGAGACCTTCACAGCAACCTTTCTGCCGGCGGGGGGAATGGATTCCAGCCCACAATCATCAATGCATGCATGTACAGAACTCCAGAAGGATGTACAACTGATCGGCATTCCTAGCAGACGGGTGAACTGCCCCCAGATTTAGATCCAGGCTATCAGCTGGCAGGAGAAAAATTGAATCTGGGCATGAAGCAGACCACTAACTCAGATAGTCTGTGTTAAGACTGCATTTGGGGGATCTGATCCCTCAAATTTTGTTATATTCTCCGAAAGTCAGTGAAATTATCGCCCTTCAACCAAGTATCATGACTTTAGGTAGTCTTTAATTCTGCAGATGAACAAGGTAAGAACTAAAGCGACATCATCTGTAGGTACCATCTCAGTAGGTACATGACCGACATCCTGCCTAAGGTATCTAGCTGGTCACGATCAGCGAAGGGAAAATCAAAAATTAAAAATCAAAAATAAAAATAAAAAAAATGGTGGAAAAGGGAAAAAAAAAGGCCACGAAAAATGCGCAAAATGCACAGAAATCCTGCGAACGACAAAGGGAAAGGGCCAATCGAACCATGAAAGGGCCGGTGCCGGCTAACCGGAAGAGGATAAGCGTCGAGGCCGATCGGGAGGCCGTCAGAAGGACCGAATGGAGCAGTTGGACCAGTTGGGATGGACCAGGGGCCCCAAAGTGGGTTGGAGGGCAGCTGCACGCTAGCCGTGGCCTAGACGCCACAACGAGTCAAGCCCACCCCCCGAAAAAGTCCCAGGCCCAAATGCCCACTCCCGGTGCGTTCAGCGTCTGAAACAGCGTCCCAGAGCCGCGCCTGGAGAAGTTCCAGCTCTGAATTTTTCTTTTCTTTTTTGCTCTTTTTTTACCCTTGGCCTGGTTGGGCGTGGTTGGACCCGTAACTCTTGACTAAACCTTTAGATGGACTTCACAGCGGCGTGGAAACTGTCTTGTCTTGTCGTGACTGTGAGGGTCGAAACTGTCGAGTGTCGAAAAAAAGTGCCAGTCGACCAAGTACCTACGTACCTTTACGTACCTGCTAACCTAGCCTAATTAACTAGTTAGTGTTAACACTTTTGACTGACACTGACTAACTAACCTACCTCACCTTGTTCTTCTTGACCCCTACCACCTCCACGATCCTACGACGTACCTTACCTGGTCTGGTCTGTCCGAACTACCTTTGGCACTAACTAACGGGAGTTCCTCATACGCTTCCCTGGGGTCATCGGCCGGTCGTGTCTTGTCTGGCTTGTCTGTCGGTCCCATAACTCTCTTTCTCCATCATTTCGTTTCATTCACCCGCTCCGGATCTGAACTGCTTCTCTTTCTTCCCTTTCTCTTCTTCCTCCCCCGTCTATCCGTCCATCCGCCTTCTTCCACTCCCCGAAGGTTCTGGTGTTGCTTCCCTCCGGCCTTTGCAGTTCGCTAGCGGGTCTGCTATCTTTAAGCCACACGTTGGTGTCGATTTCCTCCCGTCCCGATATTATTCGCTCTTCACTCCCTCCCTCTCTTCCATTCTCCCTTCAATTTGTCCCTCTGTCTCAAAGAACAGTCTTTCGTGTTCCTTTCACCAGATTTCACCAACCCCGTCCAGCAACAAGGCGCATGTAGAATGTGCTTTTGTGACTGGTCCTCGGTTTAGTTTTTCTCACGCCTAATCCGCCAGCCTGCGTTTTTCGTGTTTTACTCACATCCGCCCTTCCCCAAGTACCGTCTGAACTGAACGTCTCCCTTGAACAGCCTTGGCTGCATCTTACCCTCGGACCCTCCCCTCTCGTCCAGAGACCTCCTGTCTCTCATTCGGGTTCTGTTTGAGAGGGAAACTGTCAGAAGAGTTTTCTTCCTCATTGAAACCTTTGGTGCGCTCGACTTGGCAGCATCTCGGACCATTGTACCCTCCAGTCCCTGCCTTGCAGTAATCCCCGCCTTAGTCCTTTGCTACCTTTCACGGAGAAAGCCTTTCGTTTTGGGCATGCTAGCGGACCCTCCACCTTACTAGCTGTCATACATGTAACAATGGCACAACCCGATCTCACATCGCATCACGTCAATTACCTAATATGGAGGTATGTATCAGAGTCCCTTTGCAACCTCGTTCTGCCGTAACACGTACCTACCATGCTGCGTCATTGGGTTCCTCGACCGTGTGTATGCATTGCTAACCTCCATATAGGTATCTTCAAGAGTCAGGTAATATTCTTTCCCTATAATTTGGTGCTTATCCTTTCTTCACGGGAAAAGCAAACTAACTTTCCCACAGGGCATGGCGAGGCTGCACTCACCTTACAGCGCGCGTGGAATCGTGACCCGCAGAGTTTGCCGTTCGCCCCATACATCAAAACTCATGCTCTGGTATCCCTGGTACAAAAGGGCCTGCAGTATCATGAACTAGAGCATTCGCTCGACAGGGTATGATATTCATTGATATTTATGCTACGCGCCTCAAGATTTCTCGAGTAACATGCATACACAAAAAAAGCATAAGAACTAATAAAATGAATAGGATGGAAATCCTACGGCCTTCACATCGTCTGACTACTTTTTCGGGCCTACGCCGCTGGAACCCGAAACTGAAAAGGGTCAAAGTGGCCCCGGAGAGGCAGGCGTTGGCACAGACCAGGCGCCTGTCTCGCCTACAAGCAAAGTTCCGCGAGATGGCGGCGTGATTAACGGTCACTTGACGGCCGAGGCGGCGGCGGCGGCGGCACCCCAAGCACCAACAGCACCAGCATCAGCACCACCTCAAGCTCCCGCCGGCGTGAAGAAGCCGCACAAGAGCGGAGAGACCAACGGTGATGAAACTCCCATGGAAATTGACACTAATGGAGTAACGACTGAAAATAAGTCCGAGGTAGTCGATGAGTTGCCTCCAAAAGCCGACATGGAGGTGGACGGTGACGGAGATGTGAGCATGGGCGGCCGACCGGATTCGCAGGACCAGGAACCAGAACCAGCACCAGTACCAGCACCGGTGGCGCCGACCTTCACGTTAACCACCGGCCACAGCGTTGGCGTCCAGATCACCCCCGCCAAGGCCGCCGACCTTGGGCCCAACACCGCCATCCTCGATCTGGCTAGTGATGATCACGTGACTCGCACCCTCTGGCGCCCTCGGGACCCTACTACCGTCGTGGCCGCCGGTGATACTTTCTGCAGCCTGTGGAGGCTGTCTTCATCCTCGGATCCGGTACAGGAGAAACTCGTAGCGAACAAGGGGGATAGCACCTGTGTTTCGGCAGTCGCCTGGGACCCATTGGGCCAGAAGCTGGCCGTCGCGACCTACAATGACATGAGGGGCTCCATCACCATGTATGACGTCTCTGGAAATGCGGTCGATCTTCTTCCCGAAGTACCGCGGATGATTACTGGGTTGCACTGGGCGGAAAGCGGGTCCCATTTGATTGTGGTTGCCTCGGACAGCCGAATCTCTGAGCTAGCGCTCTGGGACGACTCATTACGACCGGACGAATTCCCATCGCCTCAGGTTATCGAGGGATCAATCTTTGACCTTTGTTGGTTGGGCTCCAACCAGGCTTTTGCTTGTGGTAACGGAACGGTCTATCAATGCGATGTCGATTCGAGTATCCACATCGCCAAGACGTTCTCATCTGGCGACCCTGACCAGCCTTGGTCATTCATCCGCTGTGCGAATGCCGGCTCTTCACCCGTGGCGGTAACTGCATCTTCCGCCAATGCTACATTATGGGTGCCTACCCATGACATGCGCCATGAGGGTGCCCATGAAGGCGACATTACGGCCATCGAGCTGAAGCCCAATATGGAACAGCAGCAACAACCAGAAACAGCACAAACCATCGTTTTGGCCACTTCCTCCACCGACGACACAGTCAAGGTATGGCATTTGGAGCTGGAGTCCAAACAGTTCAAGTGTATCCACCGATTGTTCCTCGGTCCGTCGGCACCCGCTCTCGCTAGCACTTTCTCTCCCGACGGATACGCCCTTGCTGCTGCCAGTAAAGAGAGTTTGTTCATCTGGAATGCACAGCGAGGAGGCACTGCGTTGGCCACATGGAAAGTGCCGGGTCCCGGCGAGCAGAAAAAGGAGGAAGAGTCTAGTCCCATGGTGAATGGACACAATGGCACTGCGGAGTCGGTGCCGGATCGCAGTCTAGCGTGGGATACCGATGGCAAAAAGCTTGCTTTCGGCTATGGAAACCAGGTATGTCGTCCTGACCGTTACGTGTGAAATATTGTCACTGATTATCGTTAAATAGCTGGCCATCGTAAATTTGCAGCGCTGATTCTTACGAGACGTGCGAGCCGGCTGCGTTACGAACTTTTACTTCTCGATAGTACATTAAGAAAATGGTAAATACAGCCATTCGATACACATTTGACGTTATTATTTTCGCGACGAAGGCAGGCCGGACCATCCCTAGCCGGGTGCTGCACACTTAGCGTCGGCACCTCTGCTAGCGCTCGTCTCTCCGCTCCCGGTTCTCGGCAGGCCCCGACGTGCCATGATGTGGGAGCGTGTTCAGACATCCTTGTCACTCCAGAGATCCTTCAATCTACTTTCAGTACCATAATCTCTAGTTCTACCCCCATGATTTTGGATTAGACCATACTAAACGGCGCAGCTTGGGTCTTCAGGAAAAACGCGGTGGTGGTTGGCAACTCTACATGGTTACGGTGGCTACATTGACTTCTTTCTCTTTGCCTCTTTACTTTCTTGCACTGTACCATTTCTTCTTGGACAGATCGATCAGTGATCGCCCTAAGCTCGGTCTTCAGGCGAATGATTCAGCAGCCTTCTCATCCGCTGCGGTGTGGGATGATACGCTTGATACCCAATCACAATATCTCATTCCCGCCTTCGTCGTCTTTCTCGACCAGCGTCCCATTCCTGCCGAACAGTTCATACGTATTTTGCCCGTGTCTTCTGTCTTTCTTCCCTTCTCAAAGTGCGATTCTGCTCTCGGATGCGAAAAACCTCCTCGACGTCCTTCCATCCTCGCATCCATGCCGTTATTCCCTCAAACAGGGCTTCGCCGTCGCCCTCGACCTCTTCGACTTTGCATTTCGTCCATCTTCGTTGGCCATTTCGCCGTGAGGCAGCACTCTGTTTCTTAGCGGCAATCAATAGGCGCTGTTTGTGCCATTCATCCACCCAACTCTCGAGCCCTCGTATCGTGCCTTGGATCGCTTCCCGCTCAGCGGTGTCTTCGAGAATGTCTGTATTTCTTTAATTACAGGATATGTTAGCGATCATGGCAACAGCATAAACCGACAAGTCCCTGGGGTTCCTCACAGTTCGTGAATTTCATCATCCAGTTCGCCGATCTTCCGGGCTAGTATTTCGCGTTCTCGTGTGAGCAACTCATATATCTCGGAGGACTCCTTGCGACGACGGTCGAATTCCTCTCTGAGTGTCGTAACCTCTCTTAAGATATCCTTGAGAGGAGGGTGTGACATCTCTTCGAGCGAAGCGACAGAATTGCCCAAATCTTGGGAGTCGGTCGTGGAGATGGAAGCGATGGAGTTGGACTGTCGGGAATGGCTCATAGGACGGCATCGGGCGAGCTCTTGCGTCAAGGCTGGGCGTGGGTCCAGCAGGGATTCGAGGGTCTCGAGACAGTGGTGAAGGGTCATGGAGTCGGATTTGGAGGTCGGATTGAAGTGGGATGCCAGATGGGCTAGTCTTGTGAGACGCGCGGAGACGGGAGCGGCGGTGTCGTTGGAGTCGAGGATATGGGAGGCATAGTCGGGGTCCGTGAGCGCCATGTCCCAGATCTGGCCCGCTACCGAGGAAGGAGGGGATAACTCATCGTAATGAGATGGAGGCGGGTGTTCCATGGTTGGCTAGGGTTAGGACCATGTAATCTAATGATTTGATTGTTTCTCAGAAAGAGGTTCAGTAAATACAGGCGTGCGTGATGAAAAGGGCAGTAGTCGGTAGCAAGGAGGGATGTCGGGCTGCAGCCAGGCTGCACGGGCTGCAGGAATATACGTGTCTTGCGCTGTCAGTATGAACGATGAGATGGGGTAGCTTTCTGTTTATAGGTCCAGGTGCAGAACAACTCACTCGAGTGCGGTCAGTTATGATCTGGCTGTGATGTTGTTGTGTTCGAGAGACTGAAGAGGGGACAATCAGCCAGCCGCGGGCGACGGGGATTACTTTCCACAGCAACCGGGGCGACGATGACAGGGATTGGAAGAGCAAAGAAGGAACAGGCAGATCCCAGCTGAAGAGCACGTGCGCCCTCAGATCTCCCACAAAGATGATCTCGATTCCCGATGGGTAGCAAACACAAACACTGCCACCTGCAATAAAGATACGTCGGCAGGCTTCCTTCTGGGAGAGAGAGAGAGAAAAAGACGGTCAAACCGGTCTATTCGATCAACCTTCGATAACCATTCCTCCATCCACGCTAGCCCGCTTTGGGTTCCCAGAAGTCGAATTGGCCAACAATTTGCCGCCTGCCATTTGGACCTCGACGACTTGTCATCCTTCCTTCAAGAGATAGTCAGTCCTGTTGGTTATCTCTGCCGATTTGCAACTGCTCATATCGCCCAATAAATTGTGGAGCTGCGACGGTATCTACTATCTAGTAGTTGTTTGATTAAATCCTCCCCAATTTACTCCGTCCCCAGTCAGCACCGCAAATACTCCGATCCTCCGGCTTCCCGAACTTAGCCTCTTTTTATTTCTCAATCAAATCCCCCCTCCTTCTCCTCCCCGCACAAGTCGAATTCCATCGCTCTCGGACTCGCAAAGATGGCGCCACCTGTGAGTGCCTCTTCCTTTTGTTTTACAGGCAATCACTGTTTCACTCTTGCCTCTCGACGAAGTCCCCCCGCGGAGGGTCGTTTGATATGATACTGATTCCATGTCCCCATGTGACTCACGCAGATTACCGTCGTGCCGTCCCTCGAGACCGCCAGCGAAGTTATCGCCCAGTCGAAAAATGCGCAATTTCCTCCTAACCTCCTTCCGTTGACTACGTCGATTCCGGCCGACCTGTTGACCCCCACATTGGCTTATCTGAAGATCGCGGAGAAGTGAGTGGCGCTCGGCAAGAATGGCCACATGGCTTGCGGGCAAGCACAGTTGCGCTAACGTGGTCGGCTTGTCCAGATCTAAATTGTCCTTCCTCTACGAGAGTGCTGCGACGACCGAGACTATTGGCAGATACAGTTTCGTCGGTGCTGGTATGCAGCAATGTCCCTCGATGCTATAGTGTGGCGGGGTAGTCTGATAGACTGACGATTTCTGTGCCTCCGTCTAGGTCCCCGCAAAATCATCAAAACCGGTCCCGGTCATGGCCCCGAGTGCGACCCCATGCCCATCCTGGAGCAGGAACTCTCCGGTTTTCGGGTTGCGACGGTGCCTGGCTTGACACTGCCCCCGCTCACTGGTGGTGCCATTGGATACGTGGGATATGACTGCGTGCGGTACTTCGAGCCCAAGACGGCTCGGCCGATGAAGGATATCCTCCAAATCCCGGAGTCGCTTTTCATGCTGTTCAATACGATTGTCGCCTTCGATCACTTCTTCCAGGTCGTCAAGGTCATCACATACATTTCCATTCCCGACAACGACTCGGAACTAGAGTCCGTCTACCGCCAAGGACAAGAGGTGCTCCAGCGGACCATTGACGTCCTCCTTCGACCAGACTACGCTCTTCCGCCCCAAGGCCCGATCATTCAAAACCAGGAATACACATCCAACATCGGACGGGAAGGATACGAGCGCCATGTCACTCGGCTCAAGGAGCACATCTCCAAGGGTGACATTTTCCAGACTGTGCCGTCGCAGCGGTTGTCCCGGCCGACGTCGCTCCATCCCTTCAACCTCTTCCGTCATCTGCGCACGGTCAATCCGTCTCCGTATCTCTTCTACATCGACTGCGAAGACTTCCAGCTGGTAGGAGCCAGTCCCGAGCTGCTGGTCAAGGAGGAGAAGGGACGGATCATCACGCACCCGATTGCGGGCACGGTGAAGCGGGGGAAGACGCCCGAGGAGGATGCGGCACTGGCCAACGAGCTGACCAGCAGCATCAAGGACCGGGCGGAACACGTGATGCTGGTGGACCTGGCGCGCAACGATGTGAACCGGGTGTGCGACCCGATCACGACGCAGGTGGACCGGTTGATGGTGGTGGAGAAGTTTTCGCACGTGCAGCATCTGGTGTCGCAGGTGTCGGGCATCCTGCGTCCGGAGAAGACGCGGTTCGATGCGTTCCGGTCGATCTTCCCGGCGGGCACGGTGTCAGGAGCGCCCAAGGTGCGGGCGATGCAGCTGATTGCGGAGCTGGAGGCCGAGAAGCGCGGAGTGTATGCGGGAGCGGTTGGCTACTTCGGGTATAACATCGCCAGCGCGGATGGCCAGACGGAGATGCCGGGGGCGATGGATACGTGCATTGCGCTGCGGACGATGATGGTGAAGAACGGGGTGGCCTACCTGCAGGCGGGCGGCGGCATTGTGTTCGACTCGGACCCGTACGACGAGTACGTGGAGACGTTGAACAAGCTGGGGGCGAACATTGCATGCATCAAGGGGGCGGAGGCGAAGTATTTGAGTCTGGAAGAGGAGAGTCGCCGTGCGTAGATGATGCCATTTGGTTGCCTTGTATTTCCTTCTTGCCCATTTTTATTTTCCATTTTTCTGAGGCTTATATTTCCATTCATCTTTTATGTTCTACGATTCCAGGGTTTTGCATGTGTCAGGAATACCTGATAGATTATGAATTTGAGAGCATCCGACCGTACTACTTCTTGAGTGATAAAGTCTCTAGCCGGTGGAGAGTAAATAGTAGTATGAAGGTAGTAGTAGATATGAATTTAAAGATTAGAACAATGGGGTTTGATCAAGCCCCGACGGAACACGACGGACTGCCAATCCTGCTGCCTGGACGCATCCCCGGGAATTACATGGAAATACGAGATCGATACTATCTAGATAGACCAGTAGATTGTCAAAAAAGAGTTGAGCCCGGGAGGGGGGGAGGGGGAGTCCAGTTCAATTTCATTCCTTGCTTTGAGGAAGATTCTGGATGAATCATCAGTTAGTACTTTGCAGGGCAGCAAGGGTTTGCTGGTCAGGAACGTGTTTTGGGGGGAAGAGAGGGGACTGCTGCAGTGACCCGGCCGATGACGTCGGTGGATACTTCCTACTATTTATATAATACCCAGATGAATTTATTATTATTCTAGGTTTTGACAGTAGTATGTGCTGATTAACCCACGGCATATACTGTAAGAATAATTCGGACTGTAGAGGCAAAAGTAATAAATAATATTATAAGCACCGCCCCAGAACCAAGTGGCAAGAATCTGTATAATGTATGTAGTAGGATTTGTCCGGAAGGCGAGGAAGGAACTAAACAGATGGTGTCATTTTGAAGAAATTCTGCCATGGTCTGATTGATACTTGACTACTTTTGTAACTGTCTCCATCCTTTCCCTCGTCGTGGACCCTTTTTTTGACTTTTCCCTCCCTTCTTCTAGTTCGCTAGAGTCCATACATTGTATTGTAGTGCCTGATCAATACCCACGCCCTCAATTATCTCTCTCCTACTCTCCATCCCTTATTTCTCTCCCCCCGGATTTCGATTTCCATTTTCGAGATTGTCAAATATCCAATTTGAGTTCTCCAACCCTTTATGAACCCTCCTGGAAACGAATTGGGCAGAGGGAAATAAAAAGTAAAACGGTCGTGGTTTGGATAAACTTTGGCTGGTTTGAGGCTTGCGTCGTCATCTCCCGGTGTAAGTGCCCACCAAAACTGACTCTTACAATCAACATCAATCCCTCTACTCTCTTTCTCCATCCATTCGAACAGTCTTCTTGTAACCCTCTCCATTCTCATCCCGTCCCCATCCTCTATCTCTCTCTCTCTCTCTCTCTCTCCATTCCCTCCTTTTCCCGTTGTGCAAGCGATCATCATCCATCTCTCTTGCCCCCTGTTTTTCTGTTAATTAAAAACTAGTTAGGTTACTGGTGTGCATCCGGCTTACATACTCCGCCGGAGTTCCTCTTCAGTTCAGCCACTCGCCAGACTCCCCCGACCTTAACGCCTTAAACAGCCACCAACTGACTGACTGTTACTACTACTACTCTCTCTCTCTCTCTCTTTCACCTTAACCTCCTCCTCATCCTCCTTCACCTCTACTACCTACTGCTATTACTTCTCGCTCCCCATCATCCTCCCCACTTTCACCCGCGCGATAAGGAGAGACGGGCTGGCTCTGCTCCCATCGCACTTACCTCCCCAAATCTCTCTCTTTTCCCCCTCCCCAGTCATCGCCCGTGTGTCGCGCGTTCCCGTCCACTTCCACCCCCCGCGAAGGGATTGAGATCCGAGTCCGTCATTGCGAGGCTCCAGTTCCCGCCGTTACAACCTCCATCCCCCACGCCACATACACCACCTACAATCAACCTCACCCCCCTATCCACCTACTCGCCACAATGTCCAAAGTCGTGCGCAGTGTCAAGAACGTGACCAAAGGTTATTCCTCCGTCCAGGTCAAAGTTCGAAATGGTACGTTTCCGTCTGTTCCTTCATTCCGGGGTTTCTGGGGGTCCCTTCGCAATCGGGCATCATGCTACGGTGTCGGTCGGGACGGTATCCCTGACAAATGGTCGGATCTGACATTCGGACTCCGCTAACATGTGAATTCGTTTCGTACAGCCACAAGTAATGACCCCTGGGGTCCTACGGGGACCGAAATGGCAGAGATTGCTGCCTTGACGTTCAGCAGGTAGGCCACTTACTCCCCGCCATTGGCTCCCGTGGTCCTCGACCAAAGCTGATGCCGGTGTAATCATCTAGCCCGACCGATTTCTACGAGATCATGGATATGCTGGACAAGCGCTTGAACGACAAGGGCAAGAACTGGCGCCACGTACTCAAGTCATTGAAGGTCCTCGATTACTGTCTACACGAAGGTTCCGAGTTGGTCGTCACCTGGGCCCGAAAGAACGTCTACATCATCAAGACGTTGCGCGAGTTCCAATACGTTGATGAGGATGGTCGAGATGTTGGTCAAAATGGTAGGCTCCCCCTAATTCGTGGTTTTGCTTTTCCCCGGATTCCGGGTGGTGGCTAACTCGTCCCTGGGCAGTCCGTGTTGCCGCCAAGGAACTTACATCCCTCATTATGGACGAAGATAGACTGCGCAGTGAGCGCTCCGACCGCAAGTTGTGGAAGTCCCGTGTGAGCGGACTCGATGACCAAGGCTATGGGCAGGAACCGCCGCGCCGTGAGCGGCGCGAGCGTCGCCGTGCGACCAACGATGACGAGGATGCCGAGTATCGGTTGGCCATTGAGGCAAGCAAGTACGAAGCCGAGGAGGAACGCAAGCGCCGCGCCAAGGAGGCTGGCGCCGAGGATGACGAGGACCTGGCTCGGGCGATCAAGCTCAGCAAGGAAGAGGAAGAGCTGCGCAAGCGCGAGCTGGAGGAGAGCAATGCGCAGTCGCTCTTTGACGACACTCCTGTGCCGACTGCCCAGGCACAGCCCACTGGCTACAACCAGGGCTATCAGCAGCAGAACGCCGTCGACTGGTTCGGCAACCCCATCAATCCTCAACAACCCCTGACCACGGGCTACCTGAACAACCAATATGCGCAGCCCACTGGGTTCCAGGGACAGATGACGGGTATGCCCAACGGATACGCCAATGGATTCCAGGGCCAACCCTCCGCATTCGATCAGAACCCCTATGGACAGCAGCAACAGCAGAACTTCCTGCAGCCGCAAGCAACGCTACAACCGCAACACACTGCCTTCAATACCAACAACCCTTGGGGCGCTCCCGGCAGCACCGACTTCTTCTCCCAGCAGCAACAGCAACAGCCGCAGCAGCAGCACCAACAGTTCCAGAATCAGCAACCGCAGGACAACTTCCTGTCGACCGGCACCAACAACCCATGGGCCACTAACCAGCAATCGGCGGACGCGCTGAAGCCCATGCCCACTGGATCCAACAACCCATTTGCGCAGCGTACGCAGCAGCAGTTCCAGCCCAAGCCCGCACAGACTGGACCTCCGTCCTTGAACACGCTGGCCGAGGAGCGAGCCACCACTTCGTTCAACCCAATCGCCAACTTCCAGTCCCCACAGAACCTTGCACCGCCACAGCAGAGCTTCGGACCTCCGAAGAGCACACCTCCGCAAATGCAAGATCCGCACCGCGCCCAGCTCAATGCGCTGCTGGCGTCCGGCGAAGGCCAGGACACGTTTGGCAACACTGGCGATCTGCGTATTCCGGCGCAGCACACCGCTCCTGGTACATTTGTCAACTCCGCTGGTCAGGGATTGGATCGGTTACGGGCGACACGCACCGGCAACAACCCATTCTTCGGCCAGCAGCCGCAGCAGACGGGCTTTGCACAGCCAGCCAACAACCCTTGGGGCGGACAACAGGCGTACCATCAACCTCAACAGGGTGGCAGTTTGATAGACCTGTAGAAAGAGGTGATGATACGCGGTTGGGAGAGAGGTTCGTGATGGTTTTTTGAGATATCTAGCCTGATTCAGGCTTGGGTTTTTATGTTTTTTATCATTTCATTTCTTGCTAGCTGCAGTTGTAGGAGTTGAATCCGGATACCAATTTTCTTGTTTTTGATGCATGTCTCGACCTCTGTTACAGATGGTTGCCACGCTGGTCTCCCAGAGGCATTTCTTCCACCTACGAAGCACCCCCGTGTCTCGCTCTCGAGATCACCATGCAAACCAACCAACCAATCTCTACCTCGCACTTATCATTCCCTTTGTCCATCCGTGACCGCTTATCACCACGCACGCTGATTCATCTATATGTCTGTCCTCTGCCTTCACCTCTATACACGGAATTCTATATACCCTGTTCTTTTCTTTTTCTTCCCACGAATGACTCTGATCTTGAGTTTTATTTCTCTCATTCTCGCCCTCCTTTTGATGTCTCCTACTTCTACTTCTTTTACTCTCTCTTCACATTTCATACGATATCGTCTTTTTAGTCCTCTCTATTCTGGTAGATACTTTTTTTTTTTATCTAATCTATGTTAGGCTAGGTTAGCATAGCTTAGGTTAGATTTCAAATGGATATATAAATTATGATGGAAATTCTCTATTTAGTACTAGTACAGTAGTAGTCATTCGGTCTATCACCATGTCTTCAATACATAGAAGTGATCAAGTAGTTAGTTAATCAACAACTATCCATTCAAATGTTTGTCTGTCTAGATTCAAGACGATGGATGCATTACAATACAGTAGTAGTAGTAGTAGTTGTTGTTGTTGTTGTTGTTGTTGTTGTTGTTGTTGTTGTTGTACCAGTAACTTCTAATAGGAGGAGTAATAATAATAATATATAACTAGTAACTACTTGGTAAGTAGTAAGTAGCTTCCATCTTCTCACTCAGATCATTGGGAACTAGTACTATGAAATCAATAGCAGTAGCAGTAGCAGTATATATTTACAAGGAGTTAGTACTAAATAAATTAGTAGTTGGCTAGTACTACTACATATCTAACTAATACACTTTAATGTTGGGAATAATAAGTATGAAGCATTGGTTATATTCATATTGTTGTATGGATAGGTTGATCAGTTTTACGTTTCC